GGCCTTCAAGTGTGGCAGGACTTCACATGTGTTGCGATGCAAGGAAGAGTTCACGGCACTGGCCAACGTGGTGCCGCGTCGCAGTCCATTTGGAAAGGGAAGAGGAATGCATTCAAATTGTGGAATGCGTATGCACGAGGCCTGATATCGTTGATGGGGTTTGCTTGACAAGGCAGTAACATTGTCTGTTAAGACTGGTGGATGGTGAGGTGGGAGGACTTGCTTTGCCTAGACGACTTGAGTCTGTCACTTGGTCCTTCTCCGTACTTGCCTCTTTGCCATGCTTACTCAGCTGCGAGGCGACGTTGCGCATCCTCGACGCTGTGATGGTGGTAGACGCACAGGGAAGCGAAGGGTGGATGGGAAGCGGAAAGTAGGCGCATGGGTTTGCACGGTGGTAAGGAATGGAGAGGACTTAATACCGGGTTCGTCGTCGTCGGCATCGGCAGTGGGGAGGAATTGGAAACTAAGCAGCAGTGCTTCGCACGTGCCAGGCATGATTACCTTCCTTCCCTCATTGTCCTACTCCTTCAAGGCGAGTAAATGCTGAGCGCACTCGCTTCAGGTTCGCTTGCAAGCGGCCGCATTTAGTGGGTGTGGAGGCATTGATGGCTTTAGCGCTGCCTCCCTTACCCAGGGGTGAGGGACATTGAGGAGACGCGGAGCAGGCGTCTGGTCCACCTGCATTTTCATCGACACCGAGTGGTGGCACTGAAGAGTAGGCACCATAGACGTCGACCTCGATGCAGTTTCGGTCCTTCCCTACTAACATGCATGCATTCATTGGTGCTATGGCGACTCGATTGGCCTAACAAGCGATTGGGTGGAAGCGGTATCTGCGCATTACACCGACGACAGACTGACCTACCACCTCTGTGGGACGAATCAAGCACATTGCATTCCTCGTCGCATCAATGTGCACTCAGAGTGAGCATGACAGAATTGCACAAATATGAAGGAGGATGAAGAAATGACGACCTCTGCACTGCCACTGGATTGGAGATGCAAAGTTGGAAGACGAGACAGTTGAACGAGTGCTGAACCACACAGTCGCCCTATCACTGCCGACAGCCACATTGAGGATCGGTTGGCGTGTGCGTGAAGACGACTTCACTGTCACGCCACTGCTACGGTGAGGAAGGGATGACCGCCCTGTGTTGCTGCGTCGAGGCCACATTTGTCCGCCCTTCTCTCCCTCCCCACCCTTACCTCACCAACGCGCAGTTGTGAGCACAACAATTGCACTTCATCGAAAAGTAATTTTAGTTTACCCGACTGCTGTTTCCACTCGAGTGACGAGGGGAATGCAGAGAACTGAGGTTCGAAGGGAAGGTATGTAGTAAGTGTGCGAATTGGCTGAGAGGTAGGCGCACTGCTTGGCAGCTTGTGCGTCTTCTCATCGCATCCATCGCAAGGCATTCGGTGACGAGTGGCACCGTCTTAGTTGTCGATGCACAGCAGAGACGCAGCAACGGACGATAGGTGAAGCTGTAACAAGGGGCTGCAGTTTGGTGAAAGCACCAACCACTTCTCACGTCGCCTTGGCAAAGAGTCCCAACTCCCCTCCCTTTCGCCTCTTTTTACAGCAAGCAGGACACGCTGCAAGGCACAGCATACGTGCACGCCAATGCAGGTGGCCAGCATTCCACAACTCCCTCCACGAGACAGCACTTAGACGCACAAGGTTGTAGCTCATCAAGCCAATAGGACTGGTTAAAGGTGATCAAGCACAACGCACATTCAACGCACCACTCATGGAGTGGCATTTCATTGCACGCTAACGAACATTCACATGAAGTGCGTCGAGTGTCCTGAAGCTGCTCTAATGACAACAACATCACCTCGTGTCTCCCCTTCCCCCTTCACCCTTCCTCCCGCCCTCTCCACTTACCCACCCACTTAAAGTAGACGACGTGAGGTAAGCAAAAGTTGGAACACACACACACTGTCGAATTGTATTAA